CAGCATGGTGGTTTCAGCTAGTGCCGGGTAGGTGCACAGAAACTCACACAAGCCTGGGCAGCTGTTTTAGACAGGCGCCTGGAATGCCTGGGAGACAGAGCCACCCATTCAACTGAAAGGGAGGGGGCTGAGACAGGGAGCCAGGAGATCTGGCTCAGCAGGTACCAACCCTCACGAAACAAGCAATCTGAAATGCTCTGGATGGAGAGTTTTGCAGCAAGCGCAGCTGGACCCAGGATGGTCCAGATCAGCTGGGGGAAGGACGTCCCTGACTAACGAGGCAGTCCGCCACCACCGAGGCAGTTCACACAGCAGCTGGGCAGAGCCTGAGGCAGCTCAGCAACACCTCTGCTGGCAGACTGTGACTAGACTACTCTGTGCGGTACAGGGCATCTATGAAAAAAGGCAGCAGCATGACATAAATAAAGCCAACCTTCCTAGGTCAGAGCACCTGGGAACAGAGGCGGTTATGAGTTCAACTGCAGCAGACTCAAAGGTACCTGCACAGCAGCTACGCACAGAGCAATGGAGCTCCCAGCACAGCACTTGAGCTCCTATAAGGGACAGACTGTCTCAAGTAGCTCGCCACCCCTGGATACACAAAGAGACACCTCATAAAGGAGAGCTCAGGCTAACATCTGGCGGGTACCCTTCTCGGACAAGGAAAGCAGAGGAAGAAACTGGCAGCAACCCTTGCTGTTCTGCAGCCTCCACGGGTGGCTTCATTCTGGGCATGCAAGGCTGATTCAACATACGCAAGTCTATAAACGTAATCCACCACATAAACAGAACCAAAGACAAAAACCACATGATTATCTCAATAGATGCAGAGAAGGCTTCCAATAGAATTCAGCAGCCCTTTAGGCTAAAAACTCTCAATAAACCAGGTATCGAAGGAACATATCTCAAAATAATAAAAGCTATTTACGACAAACCTATGGCCAATATCATACTGAATGGGCAAAAACTGGAATCATTCCCTTTGAAATCTGGTGCTAGACAAGGATGCCCTCTCTCACCACTCCTATTCAATATAGTATTGGAAGTTCTAGCCAGAGCATTCAGGCAAGGAAAAAAACAAAGGGCATTCAATTAGGAAAAGAAGTCGTCAAATTGTCTCTATTTGCAGCCAACATGATTGTATATTTAGAAGACTCCATTGTCTCAGCCAAAAATCTTCTTAAGATGATAAGCAACTTCAGCAAAGTCTCAGGATACAAAATCAAAGTGCAGAAATCACAAGCATTTCAATACACCAATAACAGACTAACAGAGAGCCAAATCATGAGCAAACTCTCACTCACAATTGCTACAGAGAGAATAAAATATCTAGGAATACAACGAATAAAGAATGTAAAGGACCTCTTCAAGAACTGCAAACCACTGCTCAAGGAAATAAGAGAGGACACAAACAGATGGAGAAATATTCCATGCTCATGGTTAGGAAGAATCAATATCATGAAAAGGCCATACTGCCCAAAGTAATTTATAGATTCAATGCTATCCCCATCAAGCTACCTATGACCCTCTTCAGAGAACTGGAAAAAACCACCTTAAACTTCATATGGAACCAAAAGAGAGCCTGCATAGCCAAGACAATCCTAAGCAAAAAGAACAAAGCTGGAGGCATCATGCTACTTGATTTCAAACTATACTACAAGGCTACAGTAATCAAAACAGCATGGTACTGGTACCAAAACAGAGATATAGACCAATGGAACAGAACAGAGGCATTGGAGGCAATGTTACACATCTACAACCATCTGATCTTTGACAAACCTGACAAAAGCAATGGGGAAAGGCTTCCCTGTTTAATAAATGGTGTTGGGAAAACAGGCTATCAGTGGGCAGAAAGCAGAAACTGGACCCCTTCCTGACACCTTATACTAAAATTAACTCCAGATGGATTAAAAATTTAAACATAAGACCTAACAGCATAGAAACATTAGAAGAAAACCTAGTCAAAACCATTCAGGACATAGGCTTAGGCAAGGACTTCATGACTAAAACACCAAAAGCATTAGCAAGAAAAGCCAAAATAGACAAATGGGATCTAATTAAACTCCAGAGCTTCTGTACAGCAAAAAAAAAAACAAAAAAAAAACATTATTAGAGTGAACCTACAACCAACAGAATGGGAAAAAAATTTTTGCAATCTACCCATCTGACAAAGGGCTAATATCCAGAATCTACAAAGAACTAAAACAGATTTACAAGAAAAAATAAAAAACATCCAAAAGTAGGTGAAGGATAGCAACACTTTTGAAAAGAAGACATATATGAGGCCAACAAACATATGAAAAAATGCTCATCACCACTGATTAGAGAAATGCAAATCAAAACCATATTGAGATACCACCTCACGCCAGTTAGAATGGCAATCAGTAAAAAATCTAGAGACAAGAGATGCTGGAGAGGATGTAGAGAAATAGGAACAATTTTACACTGTTGGTAGGAGTGTAAACTAGTTCAACCATTGTGGAAGACAGTGTGGTACTTTCTTAAGGGCCTAGAAATAGAAACCCCATTTGACCCAGCAATCCTATTACTGGTTATATACCCAAAGGATTATAAATCTTTCCATTATAAAGACACAACCACATGTATGTTCACAGCAGCACTGTTTTCAATAGCAAAGACCTGGAACCAACCCAAATACCCATCGACAATAAACTAGACAAGGAAAATGTGGCACATATACATCATGGAATACTATGCAGCCATAAAAAATGATGAGTTTGTGTACTTTATAGGGACATGGATGAATCTGGAAGCCATCATTCTCAGCAAACTGACACAAGAACAGAAAATCAAACACCGCATATTCTCACTCATAGGTGGGTGTTGAACAATGAAAACACATGGATAGAGGGAGGAGAGCATCACACACTGGGGTCTGTTGCAGGGGGCCAAGGGAGGGATAGTAGGAGAGTAGGGAGGTCAGGGAGGGATAACATGGGGAGAAATGCCAGATGTGGGTGACCGAGTGATGGAAGCAGCAAACCACATTGCCAAATGTGTACCTATGCAACAATCCTGCATGATCTGCACATGTACCCCAGAACCTAAATTACAATAAAAACAAAAAAAACCACACCAACTCCCCGTTAGCGAAATAGAGAAAATCAGAATTCACAGAAGAAATTCAAATGACCATTAAATAGAAAAAGTTCAATTTTACCAGTAATAAAACAAATTTAAAATTAAAAGTGAGACACATTTTCATTTATTAGACTGACCAAAGTGAGTGCTGGCCAAGGTAAGAAGAGATGGTATTCATATGGTATTGATGGAATTGGAAATTGGTATATCTTTTTGGGTGGCGGTCAAAATGTCAAATTCCCTTTGACTCAGATATTACACCTCTGGGAAATTACTTGGTTGAGCAGAAGAAATACATATGTAGGCAAAGCTTTGTATACAAGCATGTTTATTGCAGTATCATTGGCAGCACTGTAATATTAGAAATGATCTGTTTCTCCAACTACAGATTATTGAATAAATTCAAAGCAAGATAGTGATTCCTTCTTCTAAAAATTATATATACATATGTATGGGTGTATATATAATCCCAACCATAACACACACACACACACACACACACACACTCACACACAGACACGAGAAAGATAAAACTGTGTGTAGTGATTACCTCTGGAATGTAGAAATGGGAGGAAAAAAGATTTTGACTTTTTGCTTTATGTATTGTTGTAGTATCTGGTCTTTTTTAAATTAAAAATGTACTGGTATCACTTACATAATTTTTTAAAAAGCAAACCTACTGAATTTATGGTTCACTTCTGGACTGGAAACCAGTCAGCAATATACTTCAACTGAGTATATTGTATACTGAAAATATTTGTGTAAAGTATTCACTGGATACTAGATACTTTTCTTTGAGGTGGTTTTTAGCACATCTAAAACTCATGAATTAAGGTACGTTTCATGCTCAGAAGCCAAGTAAACTATGAACAAGATTATTCTGTATATAATATAGTAGATATATGCAGTCAACTAATGACAGACTTGGGACGAGACAAATTTAAGTTCCTTAGCCCCAAAATATGATCTGGAGGAGGAACTTTGTCTTTGTTGATAAGCACAACATAAAAGCATCTACAGCCCAAAGGAACAACAGCTTCTTTTCAGGAGTCCCTGAGCAGCACAGGCACTACTAGCCATCTTAAAAGATCAAAGTCTTCATTTAAGCCAAATGCCCAGAATTCAGCTTTCCTGGGGTGCTCATGCAGTTACCAAACTTCTCAGGTGGCAAACAACAAAAAATTACATGTATAAAATAACTTATCTGTTCCTAGTGCTGCTATGTCCTTTCATAGACATAAAGACACTATTTAAAATTCAAAAGACTCCAGCCTGGATTTTCTCCTTCCAATAAGTCAAATACACTCCACATCCCTATTTCATATCCTAGAAAGGAGCTCTAATAATACCTGTGCCAGCTCCATTCTCAAACTGATAAAAGGCTGAAACATGCTCATGTTGGGTAAAACACTTTCAAAGCTGTTAAGTCCTCAACTGAATGGGAAAGCATTTTGTACAAATGTGACTTAGTATTTATTATTTTGAAAGTGGGAGATTCTCAAAGTAGAGCCCTGGTTTATGGTTGTTT